GTTCAGGGAATAGAAATAACTTTTTTGTGTGTGTACTGGGGATTGAGCCCAAGACCTTTGCACTGAGCTATATTCTGAGCCTTTTTTAAATTTTAAGAGAGAGTCTAGCTAATTCACTAAATTCCCAGGTTTGACTAGCTTCTGATGCTCTTGCCTTAGCTTCCCAGAGTGCTGGGATTAAAGGTATACACCCCCATCTCTGACTGAAAACAATTTTTAACCAAACATAATGTAGTCAAACATAATTAAGGAAGTACATTTACTAACACAAAAAGTCTGGAGGTAGGTAAAATACAATTTAATAAACATTTGCTGGGAGCTTGCTGTGTGTCAGATACATTTCTTGATGTATAATTTCAGAGCAGTTTCAAAGTTCAGTTGATATACCTTTTGAAAGATGTTCCTTTAATGTGAATCAATGTCTGTGTCTCCTTCCATCCCTCCTTTCCTTCTTCCCTCCCTTTTATTCATCTCTACATTTTCCTAATTGTGAGACCATTATAACAACATTTAAGATATTTTGAAAACAAGGGAATACACATTACTCACATTCCTACCCTAATAAACCTATTTTTATTTTATAGTATGAGTTTGAGTGTTGAACTTATAAATCATTTGTGAAAATAAAACCCTGAATCCTCTTGATGGTAATTATTTTAAGAATTATTTCATAAAATTAGAAGTTAACCATAAAGTAATGATCTTGATTTTGCAGGTCTTGTGCATGCTAGGCAAGTCCTCTACCCACTGAGATACATCCTCAGACCTTTTAAAGAATGTTTATATTGAGATAAGTTCTTGCTCAATTGCCCAGGCTGGCCTCGAACTTGTTATCCTCCCATTTCGGCCTCCTGAGTAGCTAGGATTACAAGTGCACACCATGGCACCTCACTCCATAGCTGTTTTAATCAATTTTGGTGGGCCAACAGAACTGACCTGTCATCTTTTGGGGACAGGGCAGCAAATTGCAGCCATATAGGGACTGGATATTTAGGATCCTGTCTTGCCTTTTATGCGTTCAGAGGTTGAGGGGAATGTTTTTTTTGCTTGTGCCAGGGGAGTGGGGCCATTTGGTTTTGTGAGGTCTGAGACCTCACAGTGGGCATAGGATGGACCAGGTCCATTGTTAAGTGTACGACAGTATGTGGTGTGGCTGAGTGTGTTGGCAGGATTTAGGGAGGGCAGGTCGTCATGACCCAGAGATTCAGGGAGCCACATCCATGGAGAAGGTGGCCTTCTGGCATGCTTTTCCCACAACAGGAAGGGGGACTGGTGGAGAGGGTATGTCTTGGGGATGCAGGCAGAGAGGTGGGCATGGCAGGGGTGAAGAATGGTCTCAGGACCTTTAGCTGGTCAGGCTAGGAGAGGCAAGCTGGGTCTGGGGAAAACAGCTGGAGAGGAATCACATGAAGGGCTTTCCAAGTCTTCCATGAGGCCAGTGTTGGCTGCTGCCACTGCTGCATCTGTTACAGGCTTTGATGCTGCTTCAGAGTGGTCAAGAAGGGGATTGGGGCTGTGGATCTCAGGGTTAGGAGGTGGTTGAGGTGCAGTTGGGCCTGCAGGGAGGTGCTTGAGCAGGGCTGTTCTCTCCCCGTGAGATGGTACGGCTTGTCTGGGGTAGGGCAGCAGGAGGAAAGGAACCTGGGATGTGCAGTGGAGGCTCCCTAGAAAAGATGGCCAGGGTTTACTGCTATAGGGAGGGAAGTCAGCCAGGAGCATGTGGGCCACATTCACAGACACAGGAAGAGTGGGTGAGTCCAGACTGATTTGGAGGGCTGATAAGAAGTTCTGTTTCTAGAATAAGTTGGGTATCATGTGTTTTGTGTTTACTGTGTGCCCAAGCAGAGTTCTAAGTGCTTTGCCCAAAAGTCTTATAAAATAGGTGCTACTACTTCCCCCACTTTGCATACGGAGAACCTGAGACAGAATTGAGTAGTCACTTGCCCCAGGGTCAGTAAGGGGCACAGCCAGGATGCAAATCCAGACAGTCTTAATTCAACAGCCACACCCTCACTTAGTCTGTTAAAATGCTCTACTTCTGTCTGTCTGAAGTAAGATCGACTCAGGAGAAAATTGAATTGATTGAAATGCATTGCAATAGAAATCTTTTGAGAATTTTTGGATCAAATTCACCATCAATATTATGAGACTTAAGTGTGAACACCTCCTTTGTAAAAAGGGGTAAATAATTAAAACAATATAGTAGCATCTCCATTTGTTGCTACTTCTATCTTCATTATTTAATGCACTGTATAGCTCTGGAAACAATCCCAGCCACTCTGTGCCCTGATTCTGGCTGCTCCACTTAGATCCAGGGCCTAGTGGATACAGATTGTCTCAGCCTATATCACTTCTCACCTCACTGCTGCTTAATACATTTAATGATTATAACTGACCTTAGTGTTATTTTCAGCAAATCAAGGCTGCTTGGGAGTCTTTTGGTCTGAGGTGTACTTTGCTTGACACAATGGGGCTATATCAGTGCCTCCAGGTGAAATATTTGGATAATAAATAAGAAATGAGGCTGGTCATCGCTGCACATTTGTGCAGGGAACAATTTCAACCCTTCTGTTAGCCCTTTTGGGTGTCCCCTATCCATGGACTCTGTCCCTTCTGTCCTCACGTGTGAGCAGTTCTCTTTCCTTTGCTTTTCACCCTTGTTTGGCAACAGATTGATTTTTCTGTCTTCTAGTGCCATAGGCATTCAAGGAGAGGTCGACGCTTGGAACCTTTAACCTGGAGCAAACAGCAGTTTCCACTCACCTGTATTGTGTTCTTGGATTTCCAGTGGTCTCTGTAAGGGAGGGCTCTTGTTCATTCCCTGTGATCTTGCTCTGGTACCTGCCCTGGGAACTCTCCACCTTCTCTTTGCAACTTTCTGATGTCTCCTCTTCCTTGCCTCTCTCCTTCCCTTTTAGTGGTCCCTTTACAAAATCTCTTGTGACTCTTCCTACTCTCTCGGCTGGTAGAGCCCTTTGAGATTGGTGCTTGGTTTTTTTTCCTTTGATGATTTGGTCCTGTTTTTTTTTTAACTTTACAAGTCATCCCTGTGCTGTGACCATCTGAGTTTTGGGTCATAAGCAATCCACTGCTGAGAAGTCTATTCATCTACCCATACCAGGTGCCAGCAGGTCTGTGCTTTCCTGCCCCAGTCCCTTGCTGGTCATGCTGGGTCCTCAGCCTCTGCCGTCCTGAACTTGTGAAAGACCAGTGTGAAGCTTACTCTTGCGGCTTTTATGCTTTTATACCCATGCTCTTTGCCCCATCTGCCCATTTCTTTGCTTGGATGGCTTTTACTCTTCCTGAACTCAGGCCAGCCTGTCTCCAGCCTGGAGTGTGTGGGGAAGGGGGCACAAGTCCCATGCACCATTTTCTTTTCTTTCTTTCTTTTTTTTTTTTTTTACTTAATTTTGTTTGTTTGAGACCAGGTCTCACTGTATAGTTTCTGGCCTTGAACTCACTATGTAGCCCAGGCTGCCCTCTAGCTCTCAGCGATCCTCCTGCCTCAGCCTCCCAAGTGCTGGGGTTACATGCATGCGTGCACCATGCCCAACTCATTTTCTGAATAATCCTACAGAAGCAGTTGAAAGCCCCTTGGGAATTCTCTTGTGCTGTTGGCCTAGCCCATCTTCCCCAGGGACCTTTTCTTCAGCCCCCTCACCAGATCATCCATGAATCAACCTTCTGGGTTTTTTATTCCACTGAAACCTATAACCGTTAACGTTCTTTTTTCTCATAGTGTCATCTTTTTTATTCTTAACTTCTTATTGTGGGTTATCTATCACCTTGCTTGCAGAGCAGTGGTTTCCATGCCTTTCCTCATTGTGCATGTCATTTTCCCCTGAAAAGCATGTAGTGAGTCTGCATGGTCTGTGGTACATTGCAGGTATCACACCCAGATGTGGAGAGCTCTTGACAATCTGGTTCCAGCCTACATGATCTTACCTCACTTGGCCTCCACAAGGAGCCCTGTCTCCCAACCAGGCTGGTTTCTGTGTAGCTCAGAAGGCCTCACATGCCAACCTCAGTGCCAGTCTTTTCCTCGTGCCGCCTCCTCCTCCTGCTTTGCCTCTTCTGATATGGTTGAGGTGCTGCCCACTTCTTTCCATTTAGCTTAAACCTAGAGCTGTAGTTAAGTTATTCTGGCACCTAAATACTTTGTTCTTTAAGCTCTGAAGTGTGTAATGGTAATGTGTCACACCAACATACACTTTTCCCCCAGCATCTAGCACAGTGCTTTTGCAGATATTTGCATACATGGATGCATGCATGTGTATGAATGAATGAATGCTTGGTTTTGAAAATTTTCTAAGGTTCAGATTTCATACTCGGCATCTACAGTGTGTATCTTTATAAACTAGATACACTTATTTCTTGTCTAGGCATGAGGTTGATGACTTTGAAACCCAGCGTATACCACAAATAAGTTATGTTCTGATCTTATTAAGGAGATGATTGTTTTTCGTCTTATTATTTGGAGATTTGTGAATGGTTCTCCTTTTGGTGAACATTGCCATGTAAGGAGAATTAGATGGAAATAATGTGAATTAGTAAAAGTTCAGGAAAAATCCAGAGATGTCATGTCATGTACATTCTGCCAAAAGAGTGATTGGCTGATAGCTTTTTGTTATTTTGCTTCCACAGCATGAGATTTTTAAAACTGACTGTCAGCATGTCAGCACCATGACAGTGGTCCACAATCAGAATGGAAATTTGACCCATTTGTATGCTTAACCCTAAGAAGGCCGTGGCAGCCAGCAAGTCCCAGCTTGTACACCAAATGTGACCCTTAGGATTAACTTGAGGGTTGCACAAAATAACTGTCTAGATGAACTTAAGAAACTTTAGCTAGAACTCCCTCTCCAGCCATAAATAGCAGGGTAGCTTCATCCTATTTTTATTGTAGAGTGCACAGAAGATGGAACTCAGTATTGGAAGAAATGCTTCATTTCACCAAAGAAGGAGATCATACTCAACACGATTCTTATTTTTCTTGGCAGGTTCTTCTCAGCCATCTGCAAGTCCAGGGGAACTATCTCCCCCATCCATCCTTCCTGCACAATCAGAGTTAATAGTCAGAGCTGGTGACCAGATCAGGCTGACATGCACCGATCCGGCCTTTGTCAGATGGACTTTCAAGACCCTGGGTGATGTGAGTGAGAATAAGGACAGTGAATGGATCAGAGAAAAAGCCGAGGCTGCCCACACAGGCAAATACACGTGCATCAACAGAGATGGCTTAAGCAGCTCCATTTATGTATTTGTTAGAGGTAAATGCTTGGCTTTGTGTGATGTTATGCTTTAGAGGACACTTAACACTTGGTTCTTAATTTTGGATGACATGTAGATGACTAAGCTATAGGTAAAATTTTGTTGGCTGTGTCTAGAAATCCTAAACCAAGTGTTTCTTTGTTGGTTTCCACCAGCTTTTGATACACGGTGGCTTTGAGTGTGACCACAGCTGGAGGTTTGCAAGGCTATGATGTTCTTCCTAATGAGATTACAGTATGTTTAGCCCATTTGTGCCAGTGCTCTGAGTAAACCCTGAGAACAAATTATGCCCTTTGGGACACCAGCATCTTAATGCCTTGAGATTCTAGATATTCTCACTTAGTAAAAATGCTTCAGGGAACCAAAGGCCTGTAAAGTCTCAATAGACCTGCACTTCAAAAGATTTGGTCCACTCTTAGGGAGTAAATTGAAAAAAAAAAAAAATCAACTCGGTCATTCTGTGTCTATCACAGATTCTTTGTAGAGTTGATTTCCTTTCAAAAATGTGATCTCTTAGAAACAAAAGAAAAAGAAATGTGACCATTGGCTTTCTATCCTTCATTTCCTTTGACAAATTTAGTGACTCATCTGTTTGTGCTTTTACTATCTTGCTGGGCAGGACTGTATCCTTTGGTTGACTAAAAACTGAACTAACAGTTTAAGAGACAAATCCAAGTTACAGGAGGAGAAATAAGTTCTAGTTCTTGTCCTTGGTGTAAGAGGCCTGGGGCTATCATTAAAGACAGGCCTGAGGTAAGAAGCCTTATCCATGGTACTGTGATGACTAGTGGATGGGCTAGAACCTGTTTCCTCCCTGCAGTGTTTGGATAAGGTGACCTGCTCACTCTGCCTCAGGGAACTGTTGGGGGGTGGGGGTGATGCAAATTTTAGCATGCTCTATCAGGTTAATAAAGCTGACCCCCGAGGATTGCTGTGAAATTGACTATGCCTTTTCCTCAGTTATCAGTTGTCCTTTGTCCTTTCCTAAGTGGGTGGCTGAGAAGAAGTATGCACAGATAAGCCATAGCTTAACTTTGGGCTCTGGTCCCATTATTGTTGAGCCAGCCCCTGTGTGCTATAATTTCCAGGTGGTAATGAAATATCATTCTGCTTATTAATAGGATGGTAGAAAACTGAATATGTGAGGAAAACTGCAGAAGTAGCCAACTCAATCACAGAATACACACACTTTTATAACTTAGATCTACCCATAATTATTACAATTTAAGATATTCAGATTCTGAAGTAATCTATATCACAGCCATGAAAGAAAGCAGGCCATCATTGTGGGAGATAGACTCTGATGACTGAAAATGAGCAGACAGAAAAACAACCAACTCTTACTTCAGATTATAATTTGACCATCATATTGTAACTTATACAAAGGAAATTAGTAAGGCTGACAGGTATGTACTTTATTTTTGTCATTGTTTTAAAACTTAAGTGAATACAGGTATATTTTTAATGATGTCAAATTCAGCTTTGTGGGACACCTGATTTCCAGATGGAAAGGACAATTTGAAAAAGATTTTTAAATGTAATCAGTGGACCCACACATACATCTGTGTTATCAATCACACAGAGGGGGTGGCAGCAGACTGCCTGAAGAACACACAGGCTTGTCTTTACTTGTGGGACCTCCCTGTTTGCTGGAGCCATCCCTACCCATGTTGGTATCATGGCATAATGGTCCATTCTGTCCCCTTGCACTCACAAGGGTCCTGCTGTGGGCAGTACAGTGTCTGCTATGGTGTTCTCGAAAATCATAACCTCTTCTTGTGCACTTGAGATTATTTCTTTTTCTGATGTTATGTATTTCTCCTCAGGAATATGAATGTTATTTGCCCCGCTCAGCCTGCTCAGAGTTATCTAGATTCCCTTCAAGAGCTGAGCCATTCTGGAGCCTGGCAGCTCTGGAAAAAGGTCCCACACAGAGGGGTTAGAGGCAGTAAAACCTTCCTGTGCCCTCAGTTGGAATCATCAGACTGGTTTACTCTTGGCTGCTGCTCCTGTTGGGCGGGACTATTAAAATATTCTCAGGGTCTTAAGAACTCAAGTTTTGGAATCATTGAGATTTGGATTTGAAATTGCATAGCATTTTCCAGGGAACGTCACCTGAGGAGTGTCACTGTTTGAGACTTGCTTCTTCATCTGTAAAGTGGTGATAATGATACAGGTTGAATCATCACAAATCCAGAAATCTGAAATCCGAAATGCTCTGAAATCTGAAACGTTTTCAATTCCAACATGACACTCTTTAGTTTTAGATTTTGGATTTCAGATTAAGGAAACTCAGCTAGTAAAGTCTATGCAAATATTCACAAATCTGAAATACTAATAATCTTAAACATTTTGGAAAAAGGCTGCTCAACCTATGGTACACAGAGACATTGTGAAGATTAAGATAAAAAGTATGTAGTGGTCCAACCTTAGTCCTTGACACATGGCAAGTGTTTAATAAATTGTAACTGTTACCTGAAAGCACTATCTGGATAAATTTTGCTTGCACAGAGATTGGACTCAAAAGGCAACATTTTAGATCTGTTAAAAATGCTTTCTGTGACCAGCCATTTAAACTACTGATTTTTGCTGTGTTTGTAGATCCTGCCAAGCTTTTCCTTATTGGCCTTCCCTTGTATGGGAAAGAAGACAATGACACACTGGTCCGCTGTCCTCTGACAGACCCAGAGGTGACCAATTATTCCCTCAAGGAGTGCGAGGGGAAACCTCTCCCCAAGGACCTAATGTTTGTCCCCGACCCCAAGGCCGGCATCACCATCAGGAACGTGAAGCGTGCCTACCATCGGCTCTGTTTACGTTGCACTGCCAACCAGGAGGGCAAGTTGGTGCTGTCGGACAGATTCATCCTGAAAGTGAGGGCAGGTACGGTTCCTTCCTTCCTTATGGGCATCGGAGACTTTGTTCATCAAGATGCTTTCTCTCTTCCTTCCTGGTCAGCTACAGTGTAGGTAAGCAGTACCCAGGCTCTTTATTGGCTCCCCTTAGCTTCCAAATAGAGACAGCTGCTTGTGGGTTCCTCATTTCACAATCCCAAACCCAAGTGGTGGTGTGTGCCTTTCACTAGCTAAGATGAGTGTGTCTGCTGTAGACTGACATTTAGACCATACTGGGATGGTCATAACCTACTGGCTTGGGTGGTGCCACATTTGCATGATTGCATCATGTGTTGGCACAGTGAGGGACCCAATGGGAAAGAAGCTTTAATTACGTTGTTTGAAACAACCTGTAAGTGAGTCATTCCCTCCCCCACAGTACTGGGGATGAAACTGAGGGCCTCATACATGCTAGGCAAATGCTCTGCTGCTGATCTACACTCCCAGCTCTTGACTTTGAGACAGGGTTTCTAAATTGTCCAGGCTGGCTTTGAAACTGTGATCCTCATGCCTTAGGCTCCTGAGTTGTTGGGATTACTAATTCATTCTTTAATTTACAATAGCCATGTGAATTGACTTTTCTCTTTCGGCAATTAATTTTGATGCATTCTCAAACTGTTTGAGAATTGAAAAGGAAGTAACAAATAACAGTGGGCCTTGTTATTATTGTGGCATTATAAACACTATTTCAGTAGCTGGAAGATGATCTAGATTTTGAGATTACCTTATTCAGTACCAGTTGAAGTTCAGCTTTTGAGTACAGTTTTTATTAAGTCTTTTGAAAAAGTATCCTTCAAATTAAGGAAAACATGATTATTTAAAACTTGGAATTTGCAGAAATATGCAAGATATTTGTATAACATGTGGAAAAGGTGCCTTTTTGGTTAAAAGAATATAATTAAGTCAGATCCCATGCAATCATAAAGCTGCTTCACTATGCTAGGGCTTTCTGTTTTAAAAAAAACATTTTCCAGAAGCAGTATGATCTCATGTAGACATGCGTACCTCACCACTCAGTATTAATGAATTTACCTAAAGGATGTGTGACTTTATTGTAGAGGTCTTCAGATATGCAAGTAATACAGGTAGGTTCATATCACATTTTGTGTTTTATTTAAAAGATGACAGTAAGCTGTGCACATTGGAGGAGAAAAAGGCAAGTTAAAATTTCATGCTGTAATAGAGCCAATTATTAGTGAGCTACATTTCTTTTTATTCTAGCCATCAAAGCTATACCAGTTGTGTCTGTGTCCAAACCCAGCTATCTTCTGCGGGAAGGGGAAGAATTTACAGTGACATGCACAATAAAAGATGTGTCTAGTTCTGTGGGCGCAGTGTGGATAAAGGAGAACAGTCAGGTGAGTGGATTATTTCTTTAATTTGTCTTAATATATTGTTCTTGCTGTGTGGGAGATTTTAAGGTTTTTCTTTGAAAGCATGTGCTGGCCATGAGTCCTCTGGTATGTCTGTTTAGTCAAAGTTGTCTGGGAGCATTCAGATGCACAGTGCCCATTATGTACTTCCACATTAGTGACAAATAGCTGTCATGTTGTAAATCCTGAGAAAATTGTAGAGAACAGCAGCCTTGTGTTACTACTTAACACTGTTTCTGTAAATGATTTTAGTGGGGACATTAAAGAAAAAAAAGAATGGTTAACTGTATAAATAAATAGCGTGATTTAAAGCAATTTTTCTGCCCTAGCCAGATGCCTCAAGATAGTAGAGTTGCCTTTTTTCCCTTCCATGTTTACAAAGAATCAATAGACTCAGATATGAACAAGAAAGCTCTTTCCTTCCCCACAAAATGGTCTCATCATTTGAGAGGTTTTTTTGGGGGGGGCCTAGAGATCTGATTTCCTCCTTTGAGGCTGGTCACCTGAGATTAAGTTGCTAATGGTTTTGTTTGTTTTAGTTACCATTAATAAAATGGTTATCTTTAATCTGAAACATTTAGACATGTTTAGGTTATCATTTGTTTAACAAATGCATGTTCAATAACTGCTGTATATATGTCAGTACTGTCTTAGGCATATCTTTTATGTGTGTGTGTGCCTATGTACACACAATGCTGGGGGTCAAACCCAGGGCCTCACATATGCTAGGCCAGCATGCTGCAACTGAGACTCATGCCAAGCCAATTTTAGTTTTATTTGAAGATTTTTTTTTTCTCTCAATATTCATATTAATAACAAGATTTTTAAATTGTCTTAATTTCTCCAGTATTTTGCCTTAAAATTCTGATTGAGCTAGTTTTCAGTAATTTTTTTTTTAATAATCTTGGTCTCCGACTTAACTATCACAGTGGTTTCTCTTCATTATAATTGTATATATTAATTAGAAACAAAGTACCATATTTTATGCCTCTTTTCCTCCTCTTCATCATTCCCTGTATTCAACATTGGCCTATTTATTGATTCTGTTTCATGCCTATTTAAAGATTCTTTGCTTAAACAACCAGCTGTGGCAATTAGAATAATGCAGAGGCATTGTGGTGGTATTCATGTGGATGTGATGGATGGTATCTGACTAAATCAAGCCTGCCATTGATCTGGAGGGTGGTTTGTATCAGAGACTTGTTCTTTCAAACCCGTGGCCCGGGGAAATAAGTTTTAGTTTTCACGCCATATAATGTAATAAGAATAATGGCTTCGGTATGGATTTTTGGCTAACTTTACAGGACACAATCCCATATTAATTGGCTTTCTATAATCTTTGATTTCAGATGAGAGGACAATTTAGACTGTGTGTGTACATTTGAGCCTCTGTATAACTTGAAAATTAGCCTTTTTGAGATGAGAAATTAAATTGCCCCAGGCGGTTTTGTTCCGCACCATTTTTCCCAGGAGCCCTGCATGCCATTCCCAATTAATCCACTGCCACTGGTAGATAAACCTTTAGTGTTGGGAGCTCTTTGGGGAAATCCCAGTGTGCACTGCCAAGGGTTAAAGAAAACCAAATCACATGCGAACAATATGTGATGTGTGACTTGCAGATGGGGCTCCTGGATCTCTGCCAACATTCACCCATGAATTTTGTTATTGATATTTTTGGCTTAATTTCGAATACTGTTAGCACTATTAAATTATTTTAAAAATCATAATATTTGATCCTGATCATTTATAATAAGCTTAACTTATAATTAAATATAGGATAAAAATGAGTTTTAGGTTTATTGCAGTTATTTACTTAAGCATAAAAAGAATCTTGGCATTTGTTCAACACTTGTTAATCTTGGTTAGCTTTTCTAATGGTTCTAAAGTCTAGTATTTTTACTTACTTTTAATTCTGAGCTTGACAGTATCCTAAATTATGATCTTTTGGTTTGGATGTGGATATTGCTTCAAGCCATTTGGTCTGGCATTGACTAATATTCCTGATTAGCTCTGTGTTATGGACTCTTAGGCTCATGAAAGAAGTAGAGGGAAGGTACGTTCAATTTAGAATTTAGTATGTTATCTAATCATTGTCACTGCCTTTGGAGAGAAATCTGAAAAAACAATGACCCAAGAAAGGCCAGTAGGAAAATGTCACTTTGGTTTGCTGTTGCCTTTTCTTAGCTATCGATCTTATGTAGCACAATGGCAGATTTCTGCCAATTATACAGGAAACTCAGAAGGGGTGGCTTCAAATCCATACTGTTCCAAACTGGAGAGGCCTTGAAAGACACATTTGTTTCTTCATACCCTTTTAGGACAAAAGCTAAGACTAATGGTATCAGACCTGCCCAAGAGTTCACAGCTATAGAAAAGCCACTTTTTTTTCTTTTTAGTCACCATTAGCAGTCAGCTTTTATGCATGCTTATTTTGATGTAAATTTTTTTCAAAAATTGGGTTGGAGAATGTAGCTCAGTGGCAGAGCATGCACCTAGCAAGCTCAAGGCCTTGGAATAAATCCCCAGCACTTGCCCCATCAAAAAAATTCCAAAATCATATCATTAGTAAAAAAATAGAAATAGGTTAGTTCCCGGGCAGTAATTTTCCTAGCCAGTGTCCACCCCCGCCTCTCCTCCCTCTCTCCACAGTTCCCCAACCCTAGTCAAACACAGCCTTGGAGGAAGCTAGCCCTCCTGGGCTGGGCCCGCGGGTCTTCACCCTGTTTTCGCCCTCAGGGAGTGCTGTGATTGCAGAAACTCTCACAGACCAGAAAATATGTTTCCTCTTTGATTTTATGGAATTGGCACAGGCTGTGGATGCTGATAAGAATGATAGCCCCTGAAAGTGGCAATGCATCTTAGTTTTGAAGCTAAAAACAGAAGTGGAAGAACTTATAAGCTGCCATTCCATGCTCCTAGGGCAGAGAAGGTGAGCCAGTCCCAGCGCCTGGGAGGAGGCTCGCCTGCTGCCATTCCACGCTTCTAGGGCAGAGAAGGTGAGCTAGTCCCAGCACCTGGGAGGAGGCTCACCTGCTGCTATTCCACACTCCTAGGGCAGAGAAGGTGAGCCAGTCCCAGTGCCCAGAAGGAGGCTCCCCCACCTCCATTCCATGCTCCTAGGGGAGAGAAGGTGAGCCACGCAGGCGCTTCCCCATGGAAACGAGAAGACACGTAAACAAGCCTCAAAAGTAGACTTCCAGATCACCTACAGCAGCCCCAAAGGGAAACAAGATGGAACAATCTGATACTCAACCACCTGGACTCCCTGAACTAGCAACAAAAGAGGATCTGGGAAAAATGAAATCAGAAATAATTTCTCAGATAACAACAAAGATTGTGCTCATAGTGCAAGACATGATTAATAAATTTAGAGAGGACACAGATAAAAAAATAGAGAATCTGAGGAACATGATGGAATCCCAACATAGGAAACAAATGGAATCCATAAAACAGATGCAAACAGATTTCCAGAGGATTAAAAACTCCATCAAAAGTCTGTGCAGCAGAATGAACCAAGGTGAGGATAGAATTTCAGATATAGAAGATAAGATTGCAATTAGCAACCAGGAAAAGAAAAATTGCTTTAAGATTGTAAGGGAACATGAGAAATTAATCCAGCAGCTGCTAGATGATGCAAAGAAGAATAACATAAGACTGATTGGAGTCAATGAAGAAAGAGGAGAGAGTGCAGATGACATAAAAAAACTGTTCACAGAAGTGGTGGCAGAAAACTCCCCAAGGAGGGGAAAAGAACTTGACATACAGATAAGGGAGGCATATGGGACTCCAGCTAGCCTTGATCAAAAAAAATCTATACATAGGCATATAATAGTTAGGATTCCGTAAACCCAACAGAAGAACAAAATTCTACAAGCAGTGAGAGAAAAGAAACAAATCACATACGAAGTTAAGCCCATCAGAATCACAGCAGACTTCTCAATGCAAACCCTCAAGGCAAGAAGAGCTTGGAGTGTTGTATTTCAAGCCCTAAAGGAAAACAGCCTCCAACCCAGATTGATGTACCCTGCAAAACTGTCTTTCAAAATTGATGGAGAAATAAGATACTTTCATGATAAAGAGCACCTCAGGAACTTCATGAATACCAAACCGGCACTCCAAAAAATTTTAGACAATACCCTAGGAAAAGACAATGAGGATCACAACTCCAAGAAACCCAGCAGAATGAATCCACTGGGCATGACAAATTAAACGCAAAGGGGGAGAATCCAACAAAAAGAAAAAGTCGTGACAAGGCTTTGAAAACTTTGAACTTCATCTCCCTAATGAGTATATAATTCAGTCTTGTTATTGTACTGATTAGTATTTTTCTGCTTCTAGAGTTGTACACCTTTCCTTGTGCTGTACTGGCTATTTATCATCTTCTTGTGTCTACTTTTTAATTGGGGTGTCTGTTAATGAGCTGTAAGAGTTCTTTATATATTCTGGTCATAGGTTATAAGCATTGGAAATATGGTCTGTTTAAGGACTACTTTTCATTTTAATGATGTCATTTAAAGTTCTAAATTTTGATGGAATCTCATTTATCAATTTTTTCTTTTATACATCATATTTTTTGTATCCTAGATAGTTCTTGCCTACCCTAAATTCATAAATATTTTCCCTTATAATTTAAAGTTTTATACTTTTAGTCTTTCATATCTAGGTTCATAGATCCTTTCAAGTTATTTTTATGTATAGAAATAAAGGGTTGAGGTTAATTTTTTATATACAGATACCATTTAAAAAAAATAGAAATGGGCATAATCCCACCTTTGTAGAAAGTAATGCTATATAACAGAAATACAATGTGAACAGACCTCACATGTACTTTTAAATTTGTCAGTCACATTGCAAAAAGCCAAAAAAGCTAAAATTGGTTTTAATTATATGTCTTACTTGGCCCAGTGTATCCAAATGTTATTTCGTCCTATAATTAATATAAGTTATTAATAAAATTTTTGCATTTTTTTTTCTACCAAGTCATCAAAATCTGGGACATAGTTTATGCGTATTTACAGCATAACTCAATTTGGACTGCTGTATATTAAGTGCATAGTGGTCACAAGTTGCTAGTCTTTATAAATGGTACATAGCCTGTAATTGTTTTTCATATATTTTGTCTCTTTCCCCACGCATATTTCATCACATGGTTATAGTTTTAAGGTACATTCAAAGTATGCTTTTTAAGTCACATTAGCATTTATTTACCATGTAGTCATAATTTTTGTTGTTATCTCTACCTGATAGATGCTCAGTTCCAAGTTTTCGCTGCAGTAAGGATCTTGGAGTTTTGTCTTCTGTTAAATTATTTTCTTGAAATAAACTTGCTGAGTTAGTCAGGGTATGAACACCCTACCAAGCTGCTTTCCAGAAGGAGTGTTCTGATGCACCACACTGGCCTGCAGTCTGACTGTATCAGGGCCATATCCTGGCCAAGAAATAACCCTGGATCCCATTCCATGTCAGTAACAGCTCTTGTTCACTTTGACTTTATAGTTGTTTTGTTTTTCCCATTGTAATACGAATGTGTGTACATTACCGAAAATTTGGAAGAGGTAGAAAGCTGTTTTCAACTCTTTTTAAAATCTTTTCAAGAGAACTACTGTAGTTTATATTAAGCTTTTGCATATTTTAAATGCAAGCAATCTCTCCAGTGTCTTTGTCTACAGACAAATGCTGACTGGGCGGGATAACACAAGGGTAAATTCACAGTCCTTTATCTTCAGCCACTGCTCAAATACTTTGGGGCTTGATCTTCTATGTCTCATATACCTTGGCACTCCCTTCTGGAGTTGTCAAAATTGTGCTGAGAATTGTAGGATGAATTTCCAAATTAGTTGAATGCAGTCTGATTCTGTTTTAATTTCTGGAGATAAGAAATGTTAATAAAATAAAACATTGTTAGTAGCTGTGTGTTTTCTTTTGGTCGCTGGTATATAGAACAGAAAAAGATTAATAGCAGGAAATGTTAATATAAGTATGCTGACTCATAAAATATCAGTATTCTGTAGTTTTTTAGATAGTAACTTTTAAAATCTAATACTGCAGAGAATTTGAAATTAGTGTTCCTGGTTTTTTTCTAATTATTAATAATGACTATCTTTCAATATAATTCTGTAACATGAAGGGTTCCAGTGACAGACTTGCCATGATGCTTTATTATTCCTACTTAAGTCATGTATAATGAATGCTAATATGAAGAAGTTAATTGCTGCTATTTTTAATTTAGGAATGATCTTGAATATAAATTATATGGTAATCTTTGATTTTTTTTTTTCCTCCCTTCTGAAACCAGCTAACTAAAGCACAGGTAAAACGTAATAGCTGGCATCGGGGTGACTTCAATTATGAACGTCAGGAAACACTGACTATCAGCTCAACAAGAGTTAATGATTCTGGAGTGTTCATGTGTTATGCCAATAATACTTTTGGATCAGCAAATGTCACAACAACCTTGAAAGTAGTAGGTAAATATCTATGGAAATGTATAAATTACTGGAAATAGTGAAAAGAAATTACTAGACAGTTTCCTTTTTATGTAAATGGAATTCTAAGAACAGATTCTTAGAATTTTATTATCACTGAATGAATGAATGAATGAATGAATATTATCTCTGTAGGATCTTACAGCTAGCACACAAAAGCAACTTCTACCATTTCTACAGAGGAAAGTGGAAAGATGTTACTGAAGTTAAACTTCTCCTCTGTGCTACCCACCCACAAAGTGAAGTATTAGTTGAGCTTTTTCTAAAATTCTCCTTGATGAAAGGTCTGAGTTTTGGAGGTAGTGGTAGACTTTTTGTCAGAAGCACAAATGCTCAGAGCCTGAAGTATTTTTCTCTGAGTCTTTTAGTAGGACTCCCCTGTCATGTGGTTCACTATTTTGTCACTTGTTAGTTCTCCCTCATTTTTCTTATGAGCTGAATTGAGCATATATTGCTTTTGTTCCTCTCTACCTCACCCTATTCTGCAACTGTAAAGATTATAGCATAAGCCTTCAGAAAGGAGGCTTATTGTGACATGAGTTCTATATAGCATCAAGGAAAACATGGTCACCTGCCCCAACCTCATCATATCTGGTATGCACAATTGCTTTACCTTTGTCTTCCCTACTCTAGAAATCCCACTAAATATTTGTTTCCTAAGCATCTACTTAAAGAGAGCAGAGGATAGTGAGTTACTTGATGTTTTTGCTTTCCTGAGAACAAAATAGTTATTTTAAAATTATTTTGTTTGCACTTAATACCTTTTGAATATTATTTGAATTTAATCTATTTTCCTGTCTTTTTAATGCCGTCATATTCTTAGTGCTTGGCTTTGATTAAATATTCCAGGGTGGTGAAATTCACCATTATGAGCAGTACTAAAATGAGGCAGTATTTGTTTTCATATCTCTCCTTTCCCCTCCCCAAATTTCTTCAATAATTTATGTGGCATTATTAGAGTTCTGATTTATCCAACAATCATCTCATAAAATGTTGGTATTTCTGAAGCCCATGTTCTAATGGAAAGTATCTCACCAGACTGAACCAGAAAAGATGTTTCACTTGCAATTACAGAGGCAGTACACAGAAAGTGTACTACTTTGTCCCTAAACGTGACTGTGAACCATTTATTAATTTGAATAGAAGACTGTGCTTTTAAAATATTAAACGCCATAAGCATTAATTTGCTAAGTTGATTAGGGAGCATGTTGATATATCAGCTTCAGCTCCAGAAAGCAATTAGTAAGGATGTTTTGAGCATATTCTTGTATGTAATCGGATTTTAAAACTCCATTCATCTATTTCCAAGAATTATAAATGTGTGACTGGAAAGACTTGTGGTTGTGAAATCTGAATCTAGTTTTATATTGTTTTGAGAGTGAGGTGGGGTGGAACAGAAACAGGAAGAAACAAAGAGGAAAGTAATGCTTAGGGACTTGGAGTAGGATTTGGGTACAACATGGAGTGGGGGAAAGAACAAGGATTGGAGACCATCCTGAGTTGATTTGTTTTTAAATAATTTTTAAAAAGTTATAGCTAAATTGTACAATGTGATGTGATGAGGATGTATGTAGACAGTATAAAAGGTGAAGCAATTTAACAACACATCATCTCACACAGTTACACTTTTTTGTATCTGTGGCAAGAGTAGCTGGAAGCTGACTGAGTTTTGAGTAGGAGTCTTAACACTCTAATGCACCCTACTTTAGCTCTGCCTGCATTTTCTTTTCTGAGAAACACAGCTTCATAACTCCTATGGCTGTGGAAAGGTGAAAGTACAGTAGATTTTATGGAACTGTCAGGTATAGAGTTTGTACTTGATTAAATGTTAATGTATCACCAATTTCTTAATGCTGAAGTACATGAAAAAAAAATACTTTGTGTTATGACAAATTGAGTGAAGTTCTTTGATTCTTTATGTTTTAGCAACCATAGTAGAGTTCTAATAATTCTTACATTCCATGAATTTGAAGCTCTGTTTCATTATAAGACATAATCCTAGAGTGAAAAAATTTAGAAGGATCTAAGTATTTCTGTATGGCTGTTGTGAAAGAAATAATTTCAGTGCAAATATTGTTTGAAATATTTGAATATTTTGCATTGTGTACTGTCGGAACTTATGAACTTGAGAACCTAAGAACCTTGAGAAAATTTAATGTAGCATGTAGATCAAATCATTTATTCCCTTAAAAGTAACCAAAATTGCCTTAATAAGTGGCAGAGAGTATATCATTTATGATTCACATACAGGGTTGGGGATTTCCATCATTCTCCAATTTTCATTTGGATGATTTTTCAGTCTCACCTGAAAAATCCTTTTTTAATTGGTACAGTGGAAAAAGGACAGTTGAACCATACTTTTTGTTTTGAACCTGTAGGAAACTAAAGAGCAGTAAAAACTATAGTGACTCTTGTGGGGACAGTGTATCTAACTAGATAGCACCAAAGTTAATGAATGATAATTTTATATTTCATGTTAAAAGTTTGAAAAATAAAGTTAAGATTCTTTCGTAATCCCATTAATTTGATATAACCTTTTTTGGGATTTTTGGTACATTGCTTATATTTTTGTATATAAGAGTTTTAATTATACATACAATTTTATTTATATTCTTACTGTCTCTCACCTAAAATATATAGAGACTCTGGGATATGCTATAGTAAAAAGAACCTACCCTTGATGTCTCAGATTTATAGTCAAAGCTAGTCTCTGCTATGTGGCTTTTGAGCCAAATATAAATCATTTATTTCATCTATAAATTAGAGGTTATATGCTCTATCTACAAATTAGAGGCTATCAATCTATGACCTCTGTCTTTCAGTTAAAGCTTTATCTTTCAGTATTGGAAGAGTAAACATGTGTATTAAGTAAAATGTATGCTGAAGTGCAGTTGTTGGTACATAGTAAACTTTCTATAAATAGTGACTATAAAAATAATATAAGCGATTATTTTATGCCCCCTTTCAAACTATTATGTGATCATATCTAAGGCTGTATTATTTATCTAACCAATTCTTTGTTTTGTCATTTAAAAAATCATAAACAGTACAAATGGCACTTTTTTGTATGTATCTCCATCCACCCCATTTTAAGAAGTGCTCTCTAATGGAAGTTATAGGATTTGATTTAAAAATAGATAATTTAAAAATATCTATATGGCTAAATGCTTTCTTAAAAGAACTGTGCCAGTTTTACAGTGTGTAATTCAGAGTGCTACTTTTATCACACTTGCAAGATTCTTGAATTTATTTTAAATTAGTTTTGCTATTTTTAATAAGTGAAAGGCAGTATCATAATTTTAATTACTAGTTTAGCCAAACAGTTTTCCTTCTGTATTTTAATATCCTCTTTTCTCTGTTACCCTAATTAATTTTACTGTATGGACATTTAAAAATGTTTATGTATTCGAGTCTTTTATGATAGTTTTTTCTTCTGTTGCTTCCAAAAACCCTCAGAACTTGTCCTCTCTTAAAAAGTCATAGAAGAGTTTGGTTAAAAGTATGGTTTGATTGTTAACATGCTGTCTGATATATCAGTTATATATGATATGAGAAGATCTAAGTCTATTTTTCTTCATATACAAAATGACATTCTTTCAATATCTTTATTGGACATGACATCTCTTTCCTTTAACTTATGACACCTTCTAATCACATAAACAATCTGAATCTGGGCCATTTAATCCAAATGCATTTTAACTTAATAAACATTAAGGCTTAGTAGATTGAGAAGACTTTAGAGATGATGATAGATCTTTTAGAGAATTGCTTCAGAGGCAGCAATGAGAGAGTCAGTATTTCCAGTGCCTGCCTTCTCCTGTTAGGACAGTGGGTCTGCAAGAGCAAAATGAAAAGTAACACAGCCAGTTAGATTTTTCTTACTCATTCTTATTGCCAACTCATACTGGAAGTCAGTCGATCACCTTGTAATTCCAAGTGGAAGTTGTATTTTTTTGGTTAGGATAGTGGTAGATAACAGTTTCTGTCTTATTTTAATTAGATAAAGGATTCATTAATACCTTCTCCATGATGAACACTACTGTATTTGTAAATGATGGAGAAAATGTAGATTTGATTGTTGAATATGAGGCATACCCCAAGCCTGAACACCAGCAGTGGATATATATGAACAGGACCTCCACCAACAAATGGGAAGATTATCCCAAGTCTGAGACTGAAAGTAACATCAGGTAAGAATGGGCCTTGTGCTGGGGATCATGCCTGTGCCCCTCTCTTCTCATTGGCCTTTTCAGATGCCACTCTGTCACCCATCAGTGCGAGAGAAGAACCCCAGGTAAGGAAGGAAGTCTTAAATCCTCAACCAAACATTCCTTTTTGCTGTGTTTTTAGAATGCATGTGTGCATGCATACACACATACACACAGAATCTCTATCTCTGTTTTATCATTTTTAAAATGGGGTACAGTTCTTCCCTAGAATTCTGATAGCTCAAAGCAGTGACCATATATTCAGGGCACAATAAATAATTCTGTACGGAGAAAGAGGCAAGTTGGTACCTTTTACTTGTTTCTTAAAACTAAGGAAACAGAACCATTAAGTATAGTAGCTCTGAGCTGGGCAGTGAACTCAAGAGCTTTTACATCATAACTCTCATTTGATCCTCAAAACATTATAATAAAAGATAGTATAATAGTACTTTTTATGTGCTATACATGCTTTTGTTTTCTGTCAGGCATGGTTCTAAGTACCTTATACATACTAACTCAGTAACTTCTATCTTCACAAACCTTATGTGTAGGCACTCTTATTTTCCCCATTTTTGGGAGAGGAAAGAGGTACAGAAGGGTGAAATGATTTGACCAAGATCAAATGACTGACAAGAAGTAGATGCCTGGGGAGAGTTTGTGTGCTTTTCCAGTGAGGAGCTGTCATCTGCTGGAGAATTATGGGTGAGAAGTGATGGGGTCCTGGACTGAGGACTAAGGATTAAGTGGGGAAGAGTATTTGGGGAGGGATCCAGGTGATCAAGGAGATTGGAGGAGGTAAGAGCTAAAGATGCTTTTAGGTTAGATGATGAGGGGCCATATTATACAGGGAGAGGAGGAGGAAGGCAAGTTTCTGAGGAAGGATGGTAAGACTTGTTAAATTTGAGGTTGACAAGGGACTCTTGAGTGGAAATGTCTAGGTAGGAAGTATCATAGGTAGGAAATTATTTCCTGAAAGCAGAGCCTGAAATAAGAATTCTGTGGCAAAGGATTTATGCAGAAGAAGAGACCTGTCATTGTGGTAGAGAAAGGAACCAAGTAAGGACATGGGTCAGGTGGCCTGAGCTACTCTGCACTAATATATCTCCCCATTGCAGTCACTCTTGGACTGCAGACCTGGTCGGGCTGTCTGCTCTCCAGTGGCTTAAACATGCATGGGAGGTGTCAGAAGGTTGTGGTTCAAGGCATCAGAGCTGCACCTATACCAAGGAGATGGGGGCACGCAGGCAGCTCAGAGGTGCAAGACAGTGGGGGTTGGAAGGTTGTGTGCAAGCAACAGGTGGCTCAGTGAGAATAGGTTACCAGGTGTGTGGTGTAGAGAAAAGTGAGCAAGGCCACTGTGTGCTGCTCCACAAGACAATCACATCGAAGAGAACACCATTAATTGCTCAAGGGCCATATGTGCCCAGTCTCCACACCAGCTCTGGCATCCCTGAAGTCAAGCAGAAATGTGAATGGCAAATACTACAGCAGACCCTGGGAAGAGAAGTACAGTATGTAGTAAGGGAGGAGGAAAACCAGGGGCTTGTAGCTCTGCATGGCACTGAGGGGGCTTGAAGTATCAAGAGAAGATGATGAATTCTTGGATTCCAGTGGCATCACCAGGTGGGAAACATCAGAGCCAAGCAAGGCCGGTGAGTCTAGAACATTGGCGAGAGGGAGACTAGAGAAAACACCACGGGCAGAGAAGGAAGTGGTCACAGGGAAACCAAGGTGCAGGAAGAGACCACAGGCTGGGAGGTGGCAGAATGATCAGATAGCCTCTCTACACTCTTGTTCTCTCACACGGCAGGCATCTGTCCCAAATTGTGCATTTCTTAGCATAGATTTTGTTAATACTGAATTAAATGAATCATATTTTCCTCCAAACAGACACATATTTCCAGGTGGAAACTGTGAAAAAGACATGGCCTTCAAGGCAGACTGTCTGTAGGAGGTTGATTTATTGTCTTTTTTTTTTAGATATGTCAGCGAACTTCATCTAACCCGGTTAAAAGCGACCGAAGGAGGCACTTACACTTTTTTTGTGTCCAACTCTGATGTCAATGCTTCCGTGACATTTACTGTTTACGTGAACAGTAAGTAAAATGAAGGGCTCCTTATCTCTTGATTTTTTTATTTCACGTTGTGCCTCGTGTTTGTAACAGCTGCTGAACTGAGCTCCTTGTATGCTATGTAAATAATGCTTCATGATAATTTTGACCTTAACAAAGACCTCGTGGTTTGGTGGTTAGAAAAGAAAACCAATTCCTTGTCCTACATTTCACTGACCACATGACCTTGAAGAAGTGGTTCACATTCTGGGGGCCCCTGTGAAATAAACAGAGAAGCAGCAGAATTTGAAAGTAACAGTTGTTTGAGGGAAAATGTTTTATTATCGATTGTTGAAGCAGGAAACTTGATGTTGAATAGGAGCTGGGTCATGGCATTAGGTGGGAAAGAGATGCTGTCAAAGCCCTGACGCGATTCCTTTGTCACAGTGCTTTCTTGTTCAAGGCTGTGATAGTATTTGTGTTTAGAGTGTTCTCCCACCTGGAACAGTGCAGTATTGATCCAGCTGAATGGGTCATTGCTGAGTACCACGTGGGGACTGTGGGAGCAGTAGCAGTGGTTTAAGAGGGAGAGTGGCTGTGTTCACGGGAACCCCACAGTCCTGCACTGCTGTGGTCCCACATACCTCCCACTCCCGACATCTCCTGAAAGAAATGTTTGCACAGATGCTGTGGCCAAGTGGGCATGAGCCCCACGTGGAGCTTTTGCCAAATGCAGAGCTTCTCCTGTACTCAAGTCTACTGTGGGTCCACCCTGCATTTCCAAGGAAGGACAGCCAGGGGCTTACCAACCATTTCTGCCTAGGGGAAACCTCCAGAGAATTCCAAGGGAGTGGCACAGTAATCCCTGCTGGAATTGGCTATGCTGGGTGTGTGGGGAATGGGAAGACAGCATAGAACACTCTGTACAGAACAACTTAGGTAGTTGCCAGCACTTTTCGTATATTGGGTTATAGGAGGAGGTTGTGGGAACAAAGACTCGGAGACATTCCTTGCCCAGAAGGAACTTTCTTGCTATGATTTTACAGCATTTACCCATTTGATGTGGCAGCTCAATAGGCTGATTTATTTATAAATGAAGCAAACAAAGAGGCAGTAAGTGATACTCTGGACAAGTTTTTGATTGCTAATCTAGAGGGTTTTTGACACTATCAGCATTTCCAAAATTGTGTTTTCTGAATAAGATATTAATATGAGTTTAGATAGAGGTTCATATGCTTATTATTAAACATATCTATAAAAATTACTGGCCTTCCTAGAATCCTTAATATACTATGTGTATTATGCCTCTGTGGGAGGCCAGGTGAAGGAATGTATCGTCCCAAACTTGGAACTTCCGCTTTCCAACTGAAACATGTTAATTAATATTTCAATTTATCAGAAGTTTTGATTATTTGGTGTCTCATTAGCTCTCAATTCAAATATTTCTAGATTAATTCAGATGTTAATCAAAGGAGCTTAATGTATTTATTACTCATGGACAAAATTATCTGCTTCTTAAAAATCTTAATACTTAACTGATTTAAGAGATGACTATAGGCAAATCAGTATCCTTCCAAGTGTAATAAGCGCGTTGTTCATATAAGACTTTATTTTGGGTTCTCTGGAGGTGGAACTGTGTTTGTTTCCTTACCTATCTATCGCAAAGGACTTTTTCCATTTTCCACAAGATTCTCAATTCATGTGGATCAATATTACTTGTAAAGTACGGTGAAAACCAATTACTAGCAAAGTGAAATAAAGCAACAGAGATACACAAAATGCAGCATGATCTTTTTACCTTTTTAGAGTCCACAAATATAACAATGACTGCCAGATCACTGCTTCCAAATACTGCTTTCTCAGTTTCCAAGTCTTTCTCCTGGGGACCAATGATGGCAGATATGAGTGTGGCGGACTGGTCAGAGGTCACTTGGAGAAGCTCCACAGTGGAGACTTCATAAAATGAGGTGCTGCTGTATGCTGTCACTTTCCTTGGTATTTGGACCAGAGAGGCATACAGATGTGTTTTCTTTCCCCTCTTTCCTCCCATTTCTATGGCTATTATGTGATCTGTAGGACTTCAGACATTGACCCTAGAAGGACACTTCTGACTTTTTGGGGAGGGGGTAGAATCGCTGTACATTTTACTTACCAAGCTAATTTGCCATTCAACAGGATCAGTTTTAATCACTTCTGCTGGTGAACACATGCCTGTTTGAAACTAGATAAGATAGGCCATTAACCTTCTAAAATGACCCCTCCCTGTTAGTAGGAGGCCTTTCCTATATTGTGGGGCCTGGGTCTCCTATATCCACCCAACCATTCAGTGAAGTCCTGCTCAACACACTGGGCATACAGATACGGATAAAGTAGGCTCTGTCCTCTAAGGGCAAGCTCTTCAGGAAGTTTGTTCATCAATAGCAGTTTGTTACAAACACTAAGCTGACTAAAGGCATTTATTTCACTTACCTAACATATTGGATTTCCAAATGCTTTGACAAAGGTAGTGTTTTTGTGTGACCTGTCTGTCTCTGTCCCAGTTACTCTGTATAGTAATAGTTAGCGTATTTATGATTTTTTTTTAGGAGTTAACAGTATTACAGGGTAGGACTTTTTCTGTTGAATTTTAAAATCAAAAGCCAGAGTTATTTTGAAGTTTAGAACTTGGATCAATTTTTACATCGTTTTAGCTGAGGCAGTAACATATAGGTGTACTGTGTGATTTATTCTATAATAAAACTTAGGCTCAAGGGTAAAAGAAATTATGTTTTGCAAAATAAGAATTAATAAAAATCAAGATAATAAATGCATGGGATAAATGCAGAAATTCAGGCTACTTAGTGACACTGATACATAATTGCTTAATAGATCCTGCGCTAAGAAATGCTAGTGAAAATTCTTGATTTGGAATGGTAAAATGTTTGGTGGTTGAAAAACCTATTTGTTTTAAAAATTCCATGCATAGATTTCAATATATTAGGTGTATATACGGTCAGGTGGGAGCTTTAAGCCCTTAGTGGAAGACTTTTAAAATACTGTGCTCTGACTACATGTGTTGAGAGCAATTAAATATGTGACATGTTAAGTTTGACAATATTTTGATACTGTTTTAACGACCCAAGCCACAATTTACATGCGTCTGTTAAACTAACTCTGTGACATATTAGATGGTTTTTATGGCCAAGAATAGAATAAACTTCCATCTTTAAATAAAGCTTCCAGTGGAAACTGATGGGAATTTTCATGAAAAAATCAAAACAAACGTCAGTGGTTCTTTGCATTGAATTTGCCTTACCGTAATTACTCTTAGAATTGCGTATCCAAGATATATATAGAAATCAAATTTTTAGTACTAAAAATTTGCTATCTTTTGATGACAGTGGCAATTTGTTTCCCTTGCAAATGAAAATTGAGAGGAAAATAGAGTTCTGAAAACTTTAAAAACTACCCAAAAGTGCTTTCTTCATATGCATTACTCTTTCCCACATTCCTGTAGATGCCTCATCAAGCTTCTATAATTAGCCTGTGCTCCTTATTTAGGAACCTATGGTCTCTTTAGTTACAATATTCATACAAAAAGATTTTTACCAGATCTAGGGTAAGTAAAGGCTAACAGTAAAGGATAGTTCAATTACTATGGACTTAAATAGCAATGAGTAAAGTAAATGTTTCATAAATTTACTTTAGCTTCTAATTTTAAATGCCCACGTGAGTCCTGAAGTCATTTATGTAATTATAGAGATCATGAATGATATGGCAAATCAATTTTTTTCAAACCTCTGGAATGATTTTTAAAAAGATCCAATAACCTTAAAATAAATGATACTTCCAAATTTATCTGATAGCATTTCCAAGTCAGTATTGTGAATTTAAAATATGTGGTAAATGGTATGTAGGTGTCATACATAGAATTCTCTCCAGTCTTAAAGGTATATACTATAGTGACTTTAGCCAGTTGAGGAGGACTGCTGTGGTCCACCACAGATTATGGGAATAGGCAGACATCAAAAACTAAAGCATTGTTCTTGCATTGTTCTACATAGAACACATTTAAAGATGACCTAGACTGGAAACCCAAATGCCTGCTGGACTGCACTAAATTTACTCTCAAAAGTCACCAATTTCACTCCATTTATGGAAGGGTGTTAACAGAGGGTTGAGAAACAATTTAAGGAAATGCTAAATAATGTATTATTTCTAAATCACTGCATCAGAAAATTAACATCCTGCCTGGTGTTAGCAAGTATTTATAGATCCTACAGCATACCAAAATCGGCCAAGTAATACATCACCCTGAATGAAGCCTTCTGGATTAAAAAGTTCCCCTTTGACCACGTATGCAAGTGTGGGCTGCCCTTTATGTATTTTTGGTCATAGTTAAATGCAGTTACAGATGGCTGAGCCAATTGTAGGTAGAAGCCACTGTGGGTACAATGGCCTGCAAGTAAGCACATGGCCATCCTGCCATTTGCCAAAAGTGAAGGTAGTAGACCTGTCAAGCCTGTCGTGTACAAAGCTTCAGACCTCCTGCCAGCCATCTGGGTTGCCCACCTGGCTGGAATCTCAGGGACCATTACTCAGGCTAAAACAATGGTCACTGGCTTGTTTTCAGGAACTGCTCAGTTTGAGGTCTTTGAGTCATTGTGCCCTTCAGGAAGATCCCACAAAATGAAGAGAGCAAAAGTTCTCAAACTGGTGGCCTCTTTCGGAAGTTAGAAGCATTTTCCTACCTCTTAATTTTTTAGCTGTTTACTTGTTCTTATATATAGGTATTTATTTGGTGCCAGGTACTGAATCCAGGCCCTTGTACATACAAAGCACATATTCTACCCCTGAGCTACACCCCTGCCCCTCAATTTCTATTTTTTAAAAAATGCTAGGATCTTCCAAACAAGTGGATATCCAAGCCTTGTGGATAGAGGCTAAACTTTTAAAACTTCAACACATTTCTCTAGGGGTTTTTGCTTGAGAGGCTTTGCCTTTTAGTATTTTTCTCTCATTAATTGGATTCTATTAGACTTAATCCCATATTAAATATTTGGAAT